ATCACACCTGCGAGAGTCTCTAACGAGGTGGGTACCTTTCACGGAAACTAAAGCCTACATTTAAGATTGAGGTTTCAATCATATACTGTTTTTTTTTTCAGTTTAGGTCAGTTTATTGTTTTGCCATAAAGGTGTACAAAAAAAAACAAGAAAATCTAAAATAATATTTAAAAAGCTAATGGCAAGGAAGCCCAAGGGAAGACACCGGGCTTATAAGGAATGGGTTTACAACAAAATATTAAAAGAATTGTACATGCATTTCTCCATATAAACACTTTGGCTCGCCCAGCCAGGTCAACTCAGTCAGCGCATGCGCTAGCGCTGTTGGCTCTAGGCAATCTCGTTCCCAGGGACTGCGATCCTTTTGGTCAGCGACGGGGGTTGGGCTCTGGCAAATGGGTCAACTTTTTTCTCGTATAACACGCTCGTTAACGTTGACTGGGCTGGGAGGGGAGGGTGACCTTCAACCCAAAATAGGGGTTCTCCATATGAACGGGGCCTTTTTAACTCTATTGCCGCTCTCGATGCCGTCGCAGTCCGCGGATCTTAGAGCGATTTTCGTATGACCTTGAAATGAAAACGCGCAAACAAAACAGAAACAACAAACGAACGGAATTAGGGCGATTTGATTGGTTTATCGAACGGATGCAAACGCGTGTGGATTTTGGTTGGTTAAGCAAACGCTGGGGTGAAAAATCTTCATGCCCGAGAACTTTCTAGAAATCAACCGATACTATGCTTTGACGTCATACTGCAACACGATTGGCCAATTGAACAATGCCTTCTCCATATCAGGGTTTTCTTTGGCGGGAAAACGAAGAGTCCATGTTTTGATCTTTTGATCCATTGGCTAATAAAACAAGTAACGAATACTTACCGAAACCATTTTTCAAGGTCATACGAAAATCGCTGTAAGGTCTCTATTAACAAGGTTCCACTGCATAAGAAAAGGGCCCTTAGTGTGCTTTCAGTGTCTATTAGAAGGATACTAACTTAGGAAGGATAGTGGGTCATTTGCAGACCGGTGGTTAAGTTAACTGATCTATCCTTTCTCGTCTAGACAACACCAACCAAGACGCAAGAAGTTACGTTCTCACGTCTTCCTGAGGAAAGACAAAAACTGCTGAACGAAAGAAAAGCCATGATGCTTGAAAATGCAAGAAGGTAATAACCACTCATCATCGTGAGTACTGGTATTGTAATATATCTGCTGGTTTATAATAATCGCACCGTTCGAGACAAATCCTTTCAGTTAAGCTCGGTTCTTTAAGTACCAGTAGTAAATACAGATTAGTAAAGTGTAGTCGAGAGTCCAATTCGTGTGTGATATCACATGGTTTGGAAACAGCGGAGTATGTGTCTGATGTCACATGTTTAAAACAAGGCGGATTAGCCTGTTCTAAGCGTTCAGAACTCGCTCTCCACCGTCTGATCTCCGCGCATCGCCGCGCTCTACTATGTGAACGCCTGGTGCAGGCTAAAGGCAGATCCTCCCTGGTTTAAAACGAGCCGTGAAAACGAGGTAAATTTCCGCGACATAGGAAATGGCCACTTCGATGGTGAAATATATCACAATATAACGGTGAAATATATCACAAGTTCTGTTTTTTCTTGTGGATGTCTTTATGTTGCTGTTAATCATAGTGAGGGGGGTTGCAGGCAGAAAAAAAAACAAGAATAGAAAACAAGAAAGAAACTAACTAGCTTGTTGTTGGAGTAAAACAAAGCCAGCTAAAACCTTAAGCATTAAAAAAAAAAAAAGACTGACTGTCGTTGTCAAAAAAAGTTGTCACTTGTTGAAGGTGTAGAGCTATCTCTTATTCCCGTTCAACGAAGTAAATGGCCTCATAAAAACACTATTTAGCAGTTGTTTTTGTTGAACAAGAACTTCAACATTTTTTTGCTCAACAGTGTCACTGCCACGTAATCCCCTTATCTCGACATGCTTGGCATTTGAACACTACTTGTCCAAACATGTATTCGCCACAACTAATGTAAAGGAAGAATGGGCACAAACTTTCAGCGCAATGATTTCTGGGATCGTTTGGGGGCTGGGGCGGGAGTAGGGGGGAGAGTTGGGGAGGCACAAGAGTTAGTTGTGATTAATGGCTGATGGTATTCAAAAGCAATAGGCCACTTGCACTAAGAGGTCACGTGAACAATGGTTCCTTTAAACAATGAGTTGGAATCCTGCTGATGCCAAAAATTGACAGAGCACATAAAAATTATCTTACACCAGAAATTTGAGAGGAAAAGCATTTAAGGGAGATATTTTATGGCACTTTGATTTTTGAACAAAGTAGTATGATTTGTATTGGCTGCCATATTGGAGGGCATACTCATGCCCTGCAACATGGCGACCAAACTACTTTTTGCTTACATCTTGTTAAACTTTTGATAGTTACCCTCAGATGTGCTGTAAACGTTACCACATCATTTTTTCAACATTTTCTTTGAAGTTTAAGTGCAAAATTTGTGTTCAGAAAGAGGTAATTCGTAATTTTCAAAATCACATTTTGGTCACGTGACCAGCTACAAACTTACTCATTTTAAGAAAATGATGCAGGTTTGAAAAACCAAATCACTTTTAGTTTGTTTAGAATATGACCCACTAATCGTTTTTGGAAGGCAAAATCATATAACTCATTTTTATAAAAACGATGTCACATGACCTCTTAGTGCAACTGGGCTATCGTGAACCAATCATTGCTTACTTGACTAGTTCTTACGCCTTTTTTCACAGGCGCTTCCTCAATAAATAAACATAACGCAGAGAAACCGAATTGAAGAGGAACACTTTCCCCCGTTGTGTCGACGTTACTGGCTTTACGTACACTTCCCCTGTAGACAGTGTGTGTAGAGCTTGGTGCAGTGAAATGTCAAGTACACCGTGAGTTGTGTTCACTGTTTCACGGACTAGATGAGCCACGGTCTCATCTTCAAAGTCTTGCGAATACTAACAGAATATTGAGGTCTCAAATCCTGATTAAAGGTGTGTGGCACTAAATTTTTGCTATTACTTTATTGTGGAACAGAGACTGTGAAAGACGAATAGGAACAATCAACCACACAAGATAAAAATGCAGTACAAGTGCGGCTGCCATACAACCGTAGTTTTCTTTAATAAATACGTAATAGAGTGTTGTATACAGCTTGTTGAAATTCCAGGCACTAGCTCCTTGTGAGAAAAAGAGAAGCTTGTCTTAACCTATCGCAAAAATCAGTTCCTGTGAACATCGCCCACTCGGGTTTTTTAACTGCCGCAAAGATTTAGTTCCACACGATGCTAGTTGGAGTATTTACCTATAATTTTTTTAAAAAAAAAACTAAGTGGGGCCCTGTTATGAAGGAGCTTAAGCAACGACGACTGCGGCGGGAACGAGAACTGCAAAAAAGCAGCAGGTTTAGACTAGCAAAACCTGCAACACGCTTTTTTGGTGAAAGTGCCTAATTTCACGTTTTGTCGAGGACGGGAACACAAGACTGCAACTCTCTTGTTCTTTTCCTGAACTTGATTCAGCCCTGTAGAATTCAACTCCAAAAACGTTTGCCAACATTTGACGAATTCAACGAGATGGAATAAGCGCGATTAAGTTTGAAGCAGCGCGAACTCACTTTTTAAGTGACGTTTTCGTAGCCGTCGCCATCTTTGTTGCTTAAGTTCCCCATTGATAACGACGGAAACTGAAAGGAATGTAACGCGGAACGGGGAACGGAGAAAAGGAAGCGGGGAACGGGCAGTGGGGAACGGGAAAATGAAAAATCGGAACAAGATGTTAACCCAACTTGAACCCTAGCTCTATCAGTAAGTTCTCTTTAATTCTCTGTTTTGTTCCCATTATATATTTCCCCGTTCTCCGTGTTCGTTTTGGCACCATCCAAACTGGAAGGGACCATAAGGATTTTTCTTGCACGGTGACAAATTTCAGGGCTGGCTTTGAGAGAAGCTGTTTTTTTTTTTTTTTAAAAAAACTTTGCTTCGATGCTGTTCAGGTGATCTCTTCTTGGATACCTTGGCGTCTGAATCGCGTTTTGCTAGCTAAAGTTGTTTTGTCTCGATATTTTTGACCAACTAGTTGGACTTTACGAAAACAATTATTCCTCTCGCCCGAATGGCCTCTGAGTCAATAGTCCATTCCGCCTTCTGCCTCATGGGGTATTAACTCAGAGCCCTTTTGGGCTCGAGGAATAATTGTTAGGTAGATGCAGACAGAGTCGCCCAATGTTACATTTTTGTCGCCGTTTGAGGCACCGTTCTTCCTCTGACTGTCGTGTACAAGAAATGACCAGAGAATATTATGAAATAATACAAAGTTGAACCTCACCTCTACAGCCACCTTAGGGAGAAAAGAAAGTGGCCGTTGTAGAGAGGTTTAAACAAGAGTCAATGCATGGACTGTCCGCCAAAAAAGTGCCCGTTGTGGAGAGGTAGCTGTTAGTGGAGGTTATTATTATTATTTTTTTTCATCGGTATAGTACTTTCCTTTTAATTGTTTAATACATAGTATCATCTGGCAGTTGTGTTGCACCAGTTTAACCCTTTCGTCCCCAACTTGCCATTTTGAGTCTGACCTTGAGACTGGGTTGAACGGTGTTGTTTCGAATTGCATTTTGGGTCTATTTTGCCCCAGTCTCCCGCAGAACTTAATATTCGCAAATTCACTGACCATTTTCACACAGACCATAATGCACCTTGTTTTTCCCCCATAATTTTGCGTAACCATTGTCTTCGATTTCTCGAGGGACCACTGTAATACCCAGGAGAAATTGGAGACTATCATTATGTAGATTGTTTTTTTTAGGGGGGGGGGGGGAAAGGTGCCTTATGGTGTATATGAAAATGGTGAATGAAAGAAGTGATATCATTTCTAATCCAGCCCTATAGTGCAGTTTGAGACAACACCGACCCAGTCCGACGCCAATAGTGATCTAGCCTCCATCGCAAACGTTCTTAGGGGTTGGTGGGGCAGGAACGCGTGACGAACCCCTAAGAACGCCTGCGTGGGAGGCTATTCCTTTCTCCTCATATCGTTTGGTATCACGAGAATGTCGCAATTGATCACTAACGATGAACAAATTCTCCACACCAGTGTCGCAAGCAACTTACTACGGTCAAGTAGCCTGAAGTTACTCCTTCTAAAGTTCATTGAAACTGGTTTCCATATAACAGTCAGGATCGACTCCGTTGCCTCGATTTTTGGGGGCGATTAAGATGATCCGGTCGTTTGTATGAAGATCAGCCTATATTTATACACTTCAGAATGTTCAGTTCATGATCTTGCAATCGCACCAGTGTGGACGGGGATTTGTCCGCGTCGCACCAAATATGTTTCGAGATACTGATCTTCTCCATTTGGAGACATTTCGGGCGATCCGGACGACATACTTTCATAGCTTTCGGCGACATGACTTTCAGGCAACTTAACCCGTACCTCGTAAACCAGAAAAGGTGGGAAAGGTTTTGAAATTGAGGAGTTTGAAGTAAACTCCTTCGCTAGTTGTGTGCGGCTTTCCGGGAAGCAAACTTAAGAACCTACCTTGATTTTCAGTTTATATAGTTACTATCTATTTTGAAATACCTCTGGCAGTTTGGTTATGGTTCTTAGCAGAGAGTTTAAAGGTGCTATACTCTATTATTCGTAGGTACTGTAAATCCTTTATTAACCAGCCCCACTCTCAAATAAGCCCCTTCTCTCTAATAAGCCCCCCCCCCTTCCCTCCCCCGTATTATTTTTCACTTCGATTTCACTAATAAATGATAGACTGTATTAATCAATCACCACTGTAAATCTTCGTGTGGACTGATCCGAGATAGTTAATTCACCAACTGGAAGTTCGAATTGGCTTTTGATACTCGGCGGCGTGACCTCCAACATTCTTTTACTTGAGCTTTTCCACTTTGTATTACAGAGAACTGAAACCATCGTCTTTGCTAAATTAAGCCCTCCCCCTCCCCTTCCGCCCAAATGTGTTTCAAAAAAATAAGCCCCCGGGGTGGGGGGCTTTATAGAGGAGTTAGGGTAATTGTATCTAGTATGTTCGGCAAGCTGGACTCCACTGAGAATAAATTTTGTTAAACTGATTCAAGACTGACTGTTGTTGTGTGGTCCTGTTTGCTTTAAGTGACTTCTACGCCGGCCAATGTAAAACAGCAACGCAGCAAATGATCAACTTCAAGGTTTTGCAGAGAAAGTGAAAGGAACACTTTCATGGGAATAGCAACACTAAAGGCATAGGTTTTCAATGGCATGACATTTTCTAGATGACATAATCTGAAAAAGTAATCTTTTCAAAGGTGTTACCCTTTTCCTTATGTTCTTTCATGACAAAAGGCAACCATAAGACGTTTATCTTACTTCTAAAGCATTTTGTAGACAAAACAGGAGCATCGTATGAAATATAAAAAAGACCGTTGCAGGTACAGAAGTAACGTTTGCAGTTACGAAAAAGTTAACCTGAAAATTCCAGGATTGTACGAATGTCATTTGAACCATTGACATCTGCGATAACGGTGCAGCACTCAAATGCACCGACAAAACGACCAGCTCCCTATAAGCCGTTGGCTTGCTAGAGCGCTGAACAGGTATCGTCGGGGGCAAGCGTTTGACTGCGCCGAAATAACTATGTTCGGTTTTTCTTTTCAGACCTTCTTTTCAGCCCCTCTTTTTGCATTTACAAAAAATGCGTCTCCGCATCTGTCTTCTTTCATTCTTCATCCGCAGTTATACTCATAATTTCTGGAGCATTTTAGGCCCGGTTCAGACGCCGAACTTTTCATGAGCCGAACCTAATTCGAATTAAGGCCGACCCAAATTATCTAGACCGGCTAAAGTGATTCAGACGCCGATCTTAATTCCAGCCGAACTAAATTCAGAAGGCGAAAAAATTAATGCGCATTTCGGTCAAACCGCTTACAAAATACGTTGTAAGAATTTCTGCATTTGGTTCGGTACATGAAAAGTTCGGCGTCTGAATCAAAGGCGTTCCAAAGTCGATCCGAAGGCGAAATTCCCGGCCGGGCTACGCGAAAAGAACGGCTGAGCCGTTCCAAATTGAAACAGGCGTTCCTAATTGATTCAGACGCCGAACTTTTCATGTACTTAATTCAATGTATTAGGTTCGGCTCATGAAAAGTACGGCGTCTGAACCGGGCCTTAGACAAATTGTTATTGTTGCAAATACTTTGATTTTGTAGATACTGCTTTGACGTTCTCGTTGCCTTTGCCGTCGTAGTTGCTAAGCTTCCCGGATTTATCGACGTGTGTAAACGGTAAGAAAACCGAATTCGTTTTTAATATAAACACCTGCGAATCACAGTACCCTAAATGTAATAAATCCAGAAACAATTCGTGAACACTTAGCAAAGTTCAAACTTAGCCAAGTTCAAATCCTCGGGCAAAGTTTGTAAATAGCCTGCTAGTTCTGCCCTTCCAGTTTGTGTTATTTGTTTCAAAGAACTTGAGAGGAGAACGTGCCAACTTTAGCGTGACAGTTCATTATACCTCTACCACAAACAAATGATTGACTTTTTGTTTTTTTTTTTCTCCATCTTCTGCTTATAGTTTCTCTTACGTTTTGGGAAAGCGCGGTAACCTTTTAACTCTCCAACTTCGCGTGCGTACTTCCAGTTTAACCGTAGAGGAAGAAACAATCTGTGGTTTCTGAAACAAGAGGTGAAAGTTTTCGAAATGCAATAACTTCAAGTTTTATTTCATGCTATTTTGCCTCAAACTTTTGTCTGAAAAGACCTTCCACAAACAGCCTAAAGTCTTCTTTGTCCTCAACATTTGGAAAACACTGAAGACAGAGATGTTCTCTAGAGGTTCCAACTTCACTATAGCCATCTCTCATTTCTTTGTTTGAATCTTTCGTTGGATTAATACTCGCGTATCTAGTAAATGAGTACTCCGCACTTGTAACTACTGTTCTTTCTTTTTGAACATCACTTGTTAAGCTTTTTCTCGCAGAAGTCTTATGTACTGTAGACTCGGTGTACTCCACGAGGCAGCTGCCAACAGGAGGCCTCTCCCTCTGTACTTTTCTAATACAATCCTTCTCGCTCTTGATTTTGTGTAAACTTTCCAAAAATGTCTTTTTGTCCTTGTTCAATTGGCTTGCCAGTAGTTGAAGCTCTTTTCTCCCTTTCCCGTTACCTTTGAATGGAGGGAAACAAGACAAAAACAGTGAAACTGACAAAAAGATTAAAGTGGTGAAAAAACAATGACAAAACTGATAAAATGATAAACATAAGAGAGCTAATCTGTGAAGCAAGCAATTCTGTTGGAGCAACGTGCAAACGTTAGGTGGGGGAGAGAAAAATAAAATAAAATAAAAATAAGGAAAGAGGGTTGGGGAGTGGTGGTGGTGGGAGGGGTGGGTGCAGCTGAACTCATGGACAATGTTTTGTGTAATTACATTTTGTCAGTTTGAAATGTAAATCAATGGTGTGAAATATTTCTGAACCCTGAACCTCAATCAAGAAGGCAGCATGGCCAAGTGGTTAGAGTACTGGACTTGTAATCTGGAGACCCCGCGTTCTTTGTTGTCTTTTTTGCCTGTGTTCAGATCCTCAGCCACATTTATAAAATAACCAACTGGATCATCTCTTACTAGTTAGGATTTTTAACCTTGTTGATATGTTGCATTTGAATTATTTGTTTCATTACCCCTGAAAAGTCCCATACTGGGAGAAGATTATTTAGTATGTTCATTAATGTTAATAGTTACTCGACACAGCTGACAGTTCTTGGCAGAAGATAATGTTACTGCTATCTTGAATCACGAGAACTAACCTTTTGCCTCTGTGATGGCCTTAGTAATATATTTCCTAAGAACTTGATCAGTTTGATAAATGATGCTTGTTATGCAGGCCATTCTTGACTTCTCCTGTCAAATAATTTTGAATAAAATTAATAATTATCTAAAGTAAAAATGACAATAAATTACTGCTAAATTAAGACTGAACAGTGCTCAAAAGGCCATTTCCGGGTAATATGTTCCGAAAGCTCTCACTTTCAAAAGTAGGCCAAGAGCAAAAACTTTCTTGTGAAAATCAATTTTATTTGCATGAGAATAAAAAATCATTTTCACATCAATGGCTTTGCACATGGTCTCACTTTAAAACAGAGGATTGAGACAACTCAGAAATGGCCTAATCTCCCTCGCAGCCATTTTTGTCTCATCACGCAATGCTCCTGAGGAGAAGCGTTGTGTGACAAGACAAAAACGGCTGCGAGGGAGACTAGAAATGGCCTTAATTTAAAGAACATAACCATCCCTGTGGGAGCTTGGCAAAGGTTTACTTAGTCCTCTTCCAGTTCTTAGCAGTATTTCTGGTGGCAAAAGGGTCACTGGTAGAAAAGCTGTGGTTCCACTGTCATTGATTTTTATGGGCAGTTCAACCGTGAAATAGGTTAAAATAGCTAGTGGGGGCTTAACCAATAACAGTGGAACCTCGATATAACAAACCTCTATACATGTATATTATAACAAAGTCCTCGGTAAAACGAACGATTTTCTTACCCCAGTAATAGTAAAATATATTGAAAATAACCTCGATATAATGAAATCTCGTTATCTAGAACATATTTTGCCAATCCCTTGGCTCTTCATTATATCGAGGTTTCACTGAACTGACCTTCTCTTCAGAGTCTTCTTCCACAGCCCGTATAAAGGGGCTCTTCATAGCTTTTAAGACAAGCTGAATAACATATTCCCTAGTATAGAAATATATAAACTTTATTTGATGGTTTAGCATATAATACGTCTCGATATTTTGTGAGTTGCGTAGTATTTTTCCGAGCCCCACAGGGGTGAGAAAAAATACGAGCAATGAGCACAATGTATGCTCGTATTAACCATTGAATAAGAGGTTTATTATATATTCACTACAAAAAAAGTTGTTATTTGGCAATTTGCTTCTGTTTTTTGGAAAGAGTATTCAGAAACATCCTGATTCCATCTGCGAGAATGACGTTGGCAACGAGCAAAATGTTTGTGTGTATTATATGCCAAACCATTCAATGAGAGGTTAATTATTTTACTGCAAAAGAAAAATGTTATTTTGGCTCCTATTTTCTAGTAAGAGTATTCAAAACATCCTGATTCTGTCAGCCATAGTTGCTTCTTGGCCCCCTAGCCCTTACATTTTCTCTAAATTCAACCTGCTTAATACAGACACCCTGTCAATACGGAAACTCTCCATCAATACAGAAACTTTCTATGGCCCACTCAGTGTCCGTATTGACTGTATTTTAGACAATGGTAAAGAAAAAAGCCAAACAGCTTATTAGGATACATGTAGGAAGAATTTTCTCATGTACCCACAGTATGAATTAACGTCAAGAATGACTCAAGGTGGAGTATTCACTCAAAAAAAGGTTGTTCAGTGTTTTTGTAAATGGACCAGTCATTATTATCTTTCTGGATCCAAGTCCTTTCTCATCCTCAGAGAAATACTGAATATACTTCTCACAGACTCAGCTACAATGAATCAGCCAGTAAACAAAAAGATAATTGCAGTAACAAAGTTACATTTACAGTGTATTTAAATGTAATATCTTTTCCTTTCATTACACTAAGCTCAAGTCATGGAAGTTCTCAAGTGATCCTGACTGTTCAATCAATCTTACTGTTACTAACATACATTGTTTCAGCATTAAGTTCTTCTTCAGTTTTCAAAGTAAGGTAATGCTGTTCCCAGGGAAACTTTTCAGGATCTGGAGGTTCCATTTTACTGGACATGGTCATCATGGTTTGTGAGGACACAGGATGGCTTCTTGAGCTGTTTCGCTGCATGGCAATTTCTAGTGGACATTCCAAGAAAACTTCTGCAAACCCAGCACTGTCTTCCTTAAAACAAACTGGCTTATTAATAAAATACTGGAATAACAATAACAAAATAATAAATCACCTTTGTTTACCCTCAGCAGTTAGCATAGTCAAACTGTCAGTAGTATTACCGCATGGCCAAAAAAAGTGGCCATAATGAAGAGGTGACCGTATTAACGAAGTGCCTGTAAGGTGGGGTTACACTGTAATTAGGTGTATTTCAACTTTGCATATCATCATTGTGAGTGTTGTGAATAGTTTATTGGTATTTGGTTAGTAAAAAAAACTACTTACATTTCCTTGCCAGCTGAACATATTCATACCGCATACTGTGGTAATAAAAGTTGTCATCCAGTAATATCACATGAGTACCATTCCAACTGTAAAATAAATATGATATGGTGTGTAAATATAAATTTCTAAACCAAACACTAATGACCATGATTTATTAGTGGTTGGAATGGATTTATTACTGGTTGGAATGCTCTTACCACAGAGCTGTGGGTGTAACCTGAGTGTTGAGCAAGGTAAAGGTTTTCAATCTTAAAACGGTCAAATTTGTTTCTTGCACAAGTTCAAAAGTTAATTTCTGACTTTTCCCAAGCTTCTCTCTCAAAATGAGGGAAGGTGCAATGTCTTTCTTAATTGAAAACAATTATTATTGTTTTAAACAATAATTATCCTCATGTAAACAGAAGTTGTTTTTCAAAAGAACATTTTTCACTTAGACTAATTGAAAGTAAAGCGTTTTGGAACCATGAAATGCTCTATTGCAAAATATCCTCCACCAACACCCCCCCCACCTCCTCTCCGCCCTATTCCCCCATCCCTTCACCCAGCTCCATCCACCTCATGAAGTGTACTTCTGATTTTCAGTCAAATGACACTTGGTGACTATGTTTGTAGATGAAACAATAATCTTTTTTCGCAGAAACTGCATGAAAAAAGAGCTAGCTTACTTCATAGCAGGGGGAAACAGCTTTCGTTAATTTTAGGGGACTGATGCTTTACAGAGGAAAAATAACTGAATGCCCGAGCAAAATGATGAGTTTATGCAATAACATGACAAATGTATATGCCAAATGTAGAATGTAGAACGAGTAAAAACATTAATTCTTTTAACTACTTTCTGTATTATTCTCACTTGAATCTGCGGTAAACTGGCTAAAATCCAAAACATTACTAAAAAAATGTCTCGACAGCAATATTCATTTTTCATAGCTGAAAGATGCATCCAGAAATGACCAGTACAGTCTATTTGCACTTTTTTCATTCTTTGTTGTCGAACATATGACATTATTTTTTCATCACATTGAACTCGTCATTTTGCTGGCGCACCTACTTCTTTTCCTTTATTTGGTCCTTTATATAGATGGTCCCCCTCCAAAAACGACGAAGAAAAAACGAGAAGTTTTCTGATTTTAGCTACTAGATTAAGACGATTTGTGTTTGTTCTGATTGCGAATTATAAATGTATTTCTTTTAGATCGAATAATTATTAAAGCTTGGTGGTCATTTGAGCTAACCAGTTCCTAAGGAAACTCCCTCCCCCTCTAGAACTGGCTGGGGTGGTGGACATAAAGTGTTTACCAAGAGAGGATAACCTCTCTTGGTGTTTACTTATTAGAAGTATATCGGGTTAGTTTCATGAGCGATCCCGGAGTGTGTTAATAAAAAGAGGTTTGGGGAACGAAGTATTTCTAAAAGTCAAAATTTGGGAAATTTTCACGTTTAGGCGGAAAAGCTCCATTGATTTATTCATTAACGTAAACCTTCGTTACATGTACCCCGCGAGATACCTACATCTATTGTTCTTGCGTTATTTTCATAACTCGGTTTATAAAACCGTCTCTCGCATTTTTAAACAGCAGTTACAGAGTGCCTAGTGTCGTCGCAGGAGCTATTGTTTTGTCTTGGACATTGCATTGTGCATTGCGTGAAAGTGATGGAAGACTGATTAAAGATGAACCGAAGTGAAATTTTTAATTTTGCTCTGCGGCGTTGTCTCTATTTCACATGATGTAATAAGTTATTTCTGAACAATTCAAAAGTTCTACCGGAGATCTCACTGCATATATACCACGCTATCGGACCTGTGAGGAAAGAGAAACTCCTAGGATGATACGATTCAAATCTTACAGTTTAAATACAGTTCAAATCTGATGACATGTCAACCTGTCAACCTTCATTGTGTCCCACATAATATTTCACAATTCTCGTTACCGTATGCTGCCGTTTCATGTATGGAAAGGTGCTGGAAAATGTTGAAGCCCTTCTTTCTTTATTTTGAAAATATAAACTGTTTGTTTACGGTATTGAGCTGTGAACACAAAAAAAAAACGGCACGCCTGATTTATTTCCTGTTTGATTTATGTGGGCTTGAACTTACCGCTATAAACGACGCACCAGTGAAGCAGTGTATATTATTTAGGTCATTTAGATTTGCTGGAAATTTGTTTAAATTGATATCAGGATAATAAAAAGGTCAAAGCAAAGCTTTTGCTTCCAGTAGTCAGTCAGGTTGAATCATGACTTCATTGACCATACTAAAGGAAAATTTGACTTGAGAAACTTTTTCAGTGGAGCTCTCACGCTCGCGCAAAAAGGGAGCACAATTGGTAACAAATTTGGTTACCTTTGCATGGGCGCCATTCCATTTCAATCAAAACGTCTGGTTTAAATTTTCGGCAACTTCCATGCAGTACCGTATGGAACAGCATTTTCGCAATATATACGCAAATTTTCGAAAATTATCATCGGAAGTTTTCTTTCCGCATTCAAATTTGCTCCCGAATGTCTAAAATTTCTGGTTGAATGGTTCGCATTTCGAAACGTTTCCGGAAGTCTAGGAACTTTTCTGGGAAAATACTGTACCAATTGCCGCTGTTTCCAAAGTTTCTTAAGTTTTGGGTGAATGGAAAGTGCCCAAAATGCATCCAAGAAAATTTGGTTCTGAGAGAATCGCCTGCACGCATTTCGATGTGCAAAAAGTGTGCTGCACGTGCAAATTAGACCTTTTGACCTTAGCATTACTTACAACCAGCCCCGGTAACTAGCGGCTATGTGCGATTTGCGTGGTTGTTTGGCACGTTTGATAAGATTACACTGAGATTTGCTATGAATATGCTATTTTGGTTTTGTCCGGGATGGGGCATTTCTCACACTTCTATTAAGCGCCCCCCAATCCCCGCGGTTTTTTTTTTTTAGGTCGTCGTTTTCTAGGTCGTCGTTTTCTAGGTCGTTGTTTTCTAGGTCGCCGCTTTCTAGGTCGCCGCTTTTCTAGGTCGTTGTTTTCTAGGTCGTCGTTTTCTAGGTCGTTGTTTTCTAGGTCGTCGTTTTCTAGGTCGTCGTTTTCTAGGTCGTTGTTTTCTAGGTCGTCGTTTTCTAGGTCGTCGTTTTCTAGGTCGTAGGTCTTCGTTTTCTAGGTCGTCGTTTTCTAGACACCCGAAAAACGCTCTTGTTTTTGTCTACCAGCGCACGGCCGCCGTGAAAATAGCTGAAAACCAACCATGAAAGAGGACCCTCACAATCACTCTTACCTGAAGTCAGTTGAAATGAAACAAGAGCAGTTTATTTTCTGGCTTTTTTGCAAGATGCTCCAAAACTCATCAACAGAGGGAAAACCTTCTACCATTTGATCATCTATAAACGCATTTTCGTGCTGATTTTCTATCATGTTTAAAGCCCGGTCCACTGTTTCAAGTACGAGCTTTCTGTACTTCTTCCATAAAGAATACTTTGAAAAGCCATTAGCACCATCAAATAACGGAGTATTACTTTCTTGTTCACTGCTGTTTTCATGAACTAAGTCATAATTTCGCGATACATACACGGCGCCTTCGTTCAATTCCAAACCAAAAGGAATGAAATCATCATAACAAACGTGTATAACGTGAATTGTATTCCCTCTTGTTTTTTTCACATAATCCTGTAGTTTTGACGCAAGAGTAGACTTTCCAGATGCTGGAATTCCACAAAGTAAAACCAACGCTAAGCGACAACTTTCGTCCGCCATGTTGAAGCGCAACCCGAGGGAACTGGTGCCAGTTTTCCCATACTTCTTTGCCGGTTGATTCGTGAACTCACGTGACTTGTGTGATGTTCCGTCAAAATTATTCAAGATGGCGAGCTACGGTTCAGCAGAAGCTATGGCAGTCGTCCCTGTTATCGTTGTAACGGCCGTATGGGTCATTGTAGGTGGTGTTATTCCTTTCTTTATCAAAGGACAGAATAAGAGGTAATAGGGCAAGGGTAAAGTAGTCTTCAAGTTGCTAGAATAATGCTACTGAGCTTAATGTAATCTCAATATGTAGTTTTCTCGTACTCAGCGTACTTCATGAAGGAGGTGATAATTTAAGAACACTTCTTTTTAACTGATGGGGAGCGTGGAAAACAAGACTTGTTGACAAAATTTTTTAAAATAAGGTTGAGTTGCCTCTGATAGATTTTATGTGGATTTGAAGGCTAAACTGTCATCATCATTTTTATTTGATAGAAACAAAATGAAAAGCAGGTTGAGTTTGATTGTCTGGGTGAACGTAGTCCTGAATAGGACTTTTGTTGTTGACAGTGACTGACGTTTCGACAACCTATACGGTAGTCCAGGCTGTTGAGTACCTGTGCGGTAGTCCAGGTTGTTGAGTACCTGTGTGGTAGTCCAGGTTGTTGAGTATCTGTGCGGTAGTCCAGGTTGTCGGTACTTGAGCTAGCAAGTTATACATATAAGGCTGCTTGAAATACAGGGCTTGAAATAATTTTCCGGCTTGTCTGGAAAATTTTCAACCAATCAGAAGCTCTATATTTACCAAGGTCTAGGTAGTGAGACATCATCAGCATCAATATGCGATTTCTGCACTTGCGTCTCAGACATCAATATGGGGGGAAACTGTTGGATGCATCGCAAAGTGTCAGCTGTTCTCTCTGGCTATCCAGAGAGTTGATCTGGCAGGGTATTCAACCCACGCGACCTCCTGCTTAGCCAATCAGAGCTTATCCACTTAAGCAAACTGGGTGCAGGGTTTAACAAAAGTGCTGTCTGCCAGGAGCAACCTGTCAAGCAGCATGGTTTAAAAAGATACTCTAAAAGCATTGACTCAACCTTGCTTGGAGGCAAGATAAGAAATGAGGAGGCAATTAATTCATAAGGGGCCTCTTTGTATGGGCCTGAAAGCCATAGGGACCATTTGAGAGAGGCCAGAAAACAGGGTTCGAAATTAACTTTTGAACTAAGTTGCCCATGTGGCAACCATTTTTTCACTTCTAGGCGTCCAAGGTGAAATCTAGGCATCAAATAAACTAAGGGACTACCAACTTGTAATTTTGTTTAGGTTTAGACAATTCTGCCTCTGCTCGAGTTTTCTTGCTTGCTGAAAGTTCTTCAGTCTCTTTTTCAGAAAATGCGTTAGATAGTTCCTTTCGTTTCCTTTGAACTTCTTTCTCGTTGTCTGATGTGCGTAAATACCACAACAAACTGTTCTGCTTTAGTGAGTCCGCCATGATTTTAAAAGAAGCACATGGCATGTACATCCCGGAATTTTCTTGGAGCTTTGGTGTTAGTCCTACTGCGCAGCAAAACAAGATGGCGGACAATTACTCCGAACACATACGCTACGTACGTATGAATTGTAAAGAAAAGGAAAAGAAGTGATAATTTTTAAAGACTTAGTTTACCATTTATCAAGCAGAAATACTGACTTAGGATTATAATTTTCCATTATAATGATAATTGTTCTTATCTTAAGTTAGCGGGCAGTTTCTGTTAATGGACAGCTAAATTCTAGTCATCCAAGGGGCAACCATGTTCAGAGATTTGGTCGTCAGGGTCAAATTTTGGTCGTCTCTGACGACTGGATGCCCGTTAATTTCGAACCCTGGAAAATTAGAAAAACTGCTGGCTAGCCAGGTTACACAGTAACCATTGACTGCCTTTGGTACATACAATAGTCAGAAACTTAGCATACCTTCCATTTTAAAACTGGAAAAAGATTATAATGTTACAATTGCGCTCATTTGCTAACCATTAATTATTATATAGGTAAACCTTAATAAAAACTGTAAGATTGCTTAAATTTTCATCATCTTATTAGGATGCTAAATGTTGGCAATGAACAGAAACATACTAGTCTATTAAAGCTACTAAAAACGAATACTAAAAAAATGCAATAATTATAAATAATCTAAAGTGAAAATTTCCAAAGATGTGGGCAATTATATGGTAATTTCAAGGAATCTTCCACAACCAAAGGCAATACAAGCCAAAAACATGGTCTAAAAGATGCATCCAGAAATGACCAGTATTTGCACTTTTTTCATTCTTTGCTGTCGAACATACGACATTGTTTTTTCATCACATTGAACTTGTCATTTGGTTTGTGCACCTCTTTTCTTCTATAGAGCGATGTTCCCCTATCAGTAATGAAAAAATGATAACAATTATTATTAGTGCTATGCAAGATCAAGTAATTATTACCAGTTGTCAGACAGGCGGGAAACATTTGCCAAGATAAAGTGAATGCTAGTGAAAAAGGGGTTTCTATATATGAGTGGTTACGTTGTGTGATTGGTTCAAGTGGTGAATTTGATATGTTTGAGTAATATAAAGTGAAGACTCATATGAGTTGTACATGTATCACTTGCCAGGTCCTTCCTCTCAATAACATTGCTCACAAATTCTTAATGTCTCCAATGAGATGCCATTTCACCAGTTGCACGACTTGTACAAGTCGTACCACTTGACAGGACCCCCCTTTCGACAACTTTGCTCACAAATTCTAGGTGTCTCTAATAAGATGTGAGTCCATCAATTGCATGTGCAAATGAGATGCAGTTTAACAATGTGATGCCTCATATTAGTGAAAACTGATTCAGTGCAGGATCATGCTATTTTAGAGTTCGGATTAGCTTAGCCATCATGGTATATGAGCCATTATACCAGGCTCTCTAAATAATTATGGTAACTGTACGGATCTGTTCAAGAATTAAAAACAAGCTGAAAATCGGTTGTTTTTACAAATAAAGTCAGGAAGAATTCGCAATATTTTGCGGGTGTTTCTAATAAAAAAATTATTCCACTTGCACTTGATGGAATGGTTATAGCCAACTCAGTGCTATGCGCCTCATTGGATATCTACCACCTCATATCCAATGTGCACTCGTGGAATTATCACTCTGAAGTATCACCCATTTACCACCCATACTAATCACATGAATTCAAAGGCTAATCTCACCACTTTATCACTTGTGCAAGTTGAAACACTCACAACATGACTTTCTTGACTTGAAAAAGTGGTGAGTATTGGACAGCCCTCATACCTTGCAAAGCTTAGGGAATAAGCTTCTCCCCCTCCTAAAAAAAGTAAAGAAAGAATAATCACTTGGGCAGGATTCAAACCTGGGATTGCTGGCATGCAAGGCCAATGTTATTCTGCAAGCCCATGAAGAACTACATTGAGCCCAATAATAACAACAAATCAGAATTACATAGTTTTCTGATTGGCTTTGAAACAGTTGGTATTTAGACATTGTTTGATATAAATTTGTCCGTGTCTGAAAAGATTCTGCATGCTCTCAGACGTGAGGACTAGACAGATCAAATATTAAAGATTATCATTCTGAAGCTGAAGATTTGAAAACCACATTATAAAGGAATACAACTCATCCTATGCCAGGCAGAGTTTCTGGCTTGTCTAACTACAATTTATTGTGGCTTGGTCCAAAATATTTCCCAGGGTACAATGATGTTTGTTACGAGCACAACTTCGATTTTCAATTTTTTCTTGTTCTTTAAAAAACAAAAATTATTTACCACCCTGGTTTATGGGGAAATGTGATACTGGGAAGGATAACAACAGACTTATGCTTACTTTGTCATTGCAGACTTATACAGACCATGCTTGTACTGACTGCTGTATGCTGTTGGTTATTGTATCCTTTCAAATTTTTAAGTTCATGTTGAGTATAATAGAATGCTTCATGAAAGGTTCCCGTATTGAGTAAATTCTTTACACACTCTAGTTGTTGACATTACAAATCACACTCAGGTACTAATTTTTGAGGTGACAGGGTGTTGGTGACAGCTGTGTAAGTGGCCTGGCTTTGATAACTACTGTTACAGTAGGACTTTTTTTTCCTTAACTTGTATGTAAGCTGGGTTTGTGCTTATTTCTGTCAACTTAATCCCCTTATTGGACCAGAACTGTCATTAGAAGCACTAAAGGCAGCTGTGAAGGAATGGGGAGGCAGAACTGTATAGGAAAATATTTCAATCATGTAACAAAAAAAGTAAGTACATGACTTTTGCACTTTAGTTCAATAAATTAGCATCCTTGTATAAGGTAACAGAGGATATGGAAGGGGGTTTTGAATACAACCATCTGCAGCCTTAAGCAAGTCCACTGAGTTTCAGTTCACGTGACGGTGGTCCTGATCGGTATTGTTAATGACAATAACTGATGATGTTGCAGCCACCTTCAACTCAGTCCACTTTTTTATATAAATCTAGTCAGGATGACCAGATTAAGTTAAGCCTTTAAGCCCCAGTATCCACGAGCAAATTCTCTAGACTGATGCCCCACACCACTGGTATCCACGAGCCTGACCTTTATTTTAAACTCAAAAATGCATACATATCATAACCTTAGAAAGGTGATGCTACAAATTGCATTTAACAGCATACAAAACTGAAATCATAGGGTTTGTTAAGAGAATTTAGTCACATGATGTGATTTTCCAAAGCATTTTTCTCACACACCACTGGTAGCCATGCCAAGCCGACCGCCGCAACGCACAAAGCATACAGCGGCAAACAAAATACAATCTCAGAGTCCTAGAACTAGAAAAACAACCATAGCATAACAGGAACAGAAAATAAACTGCCCGACTGAATTACAACGGAATGGAAAAAATGAGCTAGGTATCATGTTCGACTTGTCTGGACACAGTTCATGCTAAATGTTCACCCCAATACGGGAACGCCTAAAGTCTGGTAAATATGAACAAGGTGGAAATTAAGCCGTAATTGCCTAATCAGTTCTCAAGCCTGAATTGTCTTAGTAACTGTTAACAGTGACTCCGTGGACTCCTGAATGTAATTGTTTTTAGACCTCTCACTACTCCATCCCCCTTGCCTCTGGAATAGTCGATCAGGTACACCAAGGGCTGCTGCTGCTGATGCTCCTCCGGCCCTAAGACTGTGGACTCCATACAGCTTAGGATCCAACTCTTCCTTTTGAAGCTCACGCTTTATCAGCTCATTTGCTCGACTGTATGACATGGGCTCCTTTCTGAGTTCCATCTTCTTCTCAGTATGCAGAATCCGGCGAAATAGCCTTGAATTCTTCACATGACTGCCAACTTTCAAAAATTTTTCAACTACCGCAACCGGGCAAGGAGATGAACTACAGCGTGCCACAAAGACCCAAGATCCATCCCGGAACTGGTCGTTCTTCCGCTGAACAAGGAAAATAGCAAGATGTGTATCCGCAAACTGAAGATTGTCAACAGTCAGTCTACTAAGATCATCCCAGCGCAGGAATCCAAAGAATCCCAATGCAAACAATGTAGCAACTTGAATATCAACTAAATTACCATGTTCAAGCCTACTGATGACTCTCTTGACCAGACTGACATCCAAAGCCTTTTTCCGATTAGGTGGTTTCGCTAAAATTCTTCTACCGGCTTCAGCTACTTGCCGAATTAAAGGGTGCTCGTTCAGCTCCTGGTAGCCACTCTTCTTGTGGACCCAGCTTGCTCCATATATAGCAGTGTTAAGCAGTGAGACTGAACTGCCCTGTTGGATGAGATGTACCAAATACAGGGCAAAGACACCAGGATCAGCTGGTAAGGCAGTTGCACTACACTTCGCAGCCCACTTCTTCCACGTTTGATATGCCCGAACATACGAACTGACTGTCTTAGGTGCTCTATCCTGGACCAAAACACTTGACAGAGATTTGGCAAGCTGTGTAAGTGTAGGATGGTTCACCATCTCCTCACGCAACCAAACAGACAGGTCCACTTCCCTCTGTACAGACTCAGGCACTGCAATTAAATAAAGTGACTTCCTCAGCAAACAATAAAATATTGCGCTGGCAAATGACAGGAGAAAAACAACAAACGGTATTTCCAAACTATTTCTGCCACAAGGTACCGCAAGGCCAACACGGCAACACTTTGCCAATGGAGAAATGCAATGTCAGTAGAATGAAATACCCCTATAGCCAACACAGCTTGGGGTAAACTGCCATGACAGCAACAAACTGACAAGCCAAAACAGCAATGACAATAATTAATCATCATAACGCCATGACAGCAATGACAAACTGACAAGCCAAAAAATAACAGAATATGCAATGAACAATAATTAATCATCATAACATGAAAACAGCACAGAGTTAAATAAATATGTTGCAATCCTGCTAAAAAATTCATAGCACCAGTAACGAAGCCCTTCCAAGATCCATTCATATCAACCAGACTGTACTAAAAATAGCTGACATGTGCTTCAGTACACGTGGAATGAAATAAGGGGGAGGAAAGAGCCATGACATTCATCAACTGATTCCAACAGGCCAAAAACAGCCCCATACTTAGGAATGTCCACTGTCATAAACCTTGACATTTCAAATAAAAAATAACAATGAATATGCCACCACAGCGAAAATAAATAATCCCCCAGCCTAATACACTGTAACATCGCCTTGTCCACTAGAATAGGTAAGAACAACCAAATTGATACCCACTGCAATCCCCTGACAGTCACTGGGCCAACATGCCAAAATGGATCAGTCCAGAGACGCACAACAGGACCCAGGGCAAGACCCATAGGAACCTAAAAAAGGCATCTAGATAAAGCGCTTCTCTGAGAGCTAAAATTAGGAAGGACGGACCCACTGGCTTTTCTCCTCGTTGGCGATGAACCCACTGAATATGTTGCACAGGAACTTGCAGATCCTTATAGTGTTTGACAAGTGCTCTTTGAATGTAAAATGAAAATATCTAAGCTGATCCTTGTAGAATAAAGAAAAACCAAGGAATTGGCAATGTTGTGGAAAAATCTCTATGTGGTGGTAGCCACTTTTATAATCAAATTTGAAGAACCAGTCACCCTTCGAAAACAAACCTGCAGCAGTTCGAATGTCCTCATACTTGAACTTACATGACCGCAAGTGTTTGTTTACATAACGCAAAGTCCAGTCAGGAACAGCGATGACCATTCAGTTCCTTTGCCCGTAACTGAAGCTCGGCACTCACGCGCGAAATGGCCGGTTCGGAAGCAGCGAAAACAAGTTTGCTGTGATTAACTGTTAATGTTTGTTACCTTTAAGCCCCAGTATCCACGAGCAAATTCTCTAGATGATGCTCATATATTTTCTGAAAGGATTTGTTAAGAGAATTTAATATGTGATCAAAGCATTTTCCCGTACCATGGTATTTTGCAGAATGCTGAATGACTCTGAAGTTTAGTGATTAGGGTTAGGAAACTGAGTGAATCAGGCTCCATTTAGAGTCATTATCCTGGGAAAACTGACCTGTAACTTGATTCACTCAGTTTCCTAACCCTAATCGATCGATAAACTTCAGGAGTCATTCAGCATTGTCGTTCGGCATTCTGCAAAATACCTTTGCTGATTTTCCCATTGGTGATAATTTTATTTATTCTCGTCAGGTTTTCTCTTGATACTACGTATGGGTAATGTTGGGAGGAAATTCATTTTGGTCACTTGTGGGACTTAGAAAGGGTTTTAAAAAAGTAGGAGACCATTGACATACAGGTAGTGGCATGTAAGAAGATTTCCCCATCCCAACCAGCCATAAGGTAGCACATGTTTATAACTTGATTAAGCTCCTTGGGTTGCACATGTGTTTATACTTAATCTTGGACTTCTCAGACCTCTGTCAGACCGCACATTTTCTTTTGTCTGTTGGCTATTACTGTGAAACGTGGGTCTCAGAAACACAATAAATATTCTGGAATGCTACTGCGTTACAAGGAAAAAGCCAATTAGGAGTGGGAAACTCTTTAAACCACAATTATCAATGGTGATTAGTATTTTGTTGCTTGCTCGCATGTTCTGATCTATTTTTTTCTTATTATGATACACTATAGCACATTCAACAAGCAGTCATGAAATATTGCAGTTGTTCATGGATGTCTAAGTTTGGCAGTAATGTCAGTAGGGGTATATAATTATTATTTAAAACATTACCTTTTGCTTATGATGACAGTTTTTTACTGTTATGTTTCTCTTTCTGCAGGAAGGATACTGAAATATGGATTACACATGTAACTTCTCTAAATTATCGTTGGCACAGACAGCTGAAAAATGAGTAGTCAAGTGCAATAATGAATATGACCCACATATTGTTATTACTTCTGTCAGCAAGTAGCAGCAATACTTTGCCTACCCTGCAAGCAGAGGTTTCTCTCTTGAAGCCATTAAGACAGACAAGCCACAGGAATGACTTCGTAAACGCTATAAAAAGCCATGCAAGTGAGAAACGTCTGTTCGCAGCGTATTCTTTGCCTAATTTTTATGTCTTACAGGATCATACTTGACTTGTTATCCAATCTAATGAAGTTGTGTTGTTATTAATGAGTTGATCACAGAAGTTTCAAATTAAAACAATCAAATACTACTAGGAATCCATTAGGGGACACTGCAGAAAGTTCTGAGCTAAACATTTTTGTTTTATGGATAAAAGATTTAAGGTTTGCTTACTTAAAATGCTGTGATTTAAAGGCTATTAAGTCTTGGACAAGTCTTGTCTACAAAAAAGTTGAAATCACAGAACATAACTAAGAGTCGGGGCCTTCAAAGTAAGGCTAAGAGGAAAAGAAAGAAAAAAGTTAGGAAACGACTCTCATTAAGGAAAATGTGAAATGAAAATATCCTTATAAGTGAAATTTAATTTTAGCAATTGTCTGTAAGGGCATACCTATCATTGTAGATCTCTTTCAGTTTCAGTAATTAAGTTGTAATGAGCATTGTTGTATACAGCCTGAAATTTCTTTCCTTTTTGTCTTGAAATGTTCATTGATGACTTTAATAAATTCATTTCTTACAAGTTGGCTTTCTGGTTGTTGAAAGTTACAGTTATGTGTTTAATGGGCTGAATATTTGCAGCAGCAGGCAAGCAGCATTAAACATAGTCACTGATGGAATTTTATGCTTCGATTAGATCAAATCACTAGTACCATCCAGATGTGATGCCCATTCAGTACATTATTCTTGGCAATAGAAAGTTAATGTTTTTGTATGTATATAGATAGGAACGCGACATTGGTGTTTCATTTTGTACTCCCTATAAAGTAGCCTACGGTTCATTTTTTTAATTACCAATATAATGCTGCTTGTGCTCATTTTTCTTATTTTATAAAGTAATGCCAGTTGCACAGGCTGGTTTATTCATCTGTTTGGAAAATATAGCTCATACAGGGACCTGAAAATGTATGTATCTTTGTTTGTCCATTTTAGTTGAAGGGGAGTTGTTAGTTAGTCACCTACCCAGTAGACTAGGGGAGTTGGGCAGGTTCAGGTTTGTAGAGGTTCAGCTGGCGAACTTGCACTGTTTGTGCCGTAGGTGCGAACATTGAGTGCTGGATGCACCAACTTCTAGGGGGGTCTGGGGGCGTGTTTCCGTCCAAATTTTTAAAATTGGACTCTCCAAAATGCAATTCCCTGTGTTCCTCTAGACTAGAATTGGGTAACTGGGAAGGGATAAAAATTGTTCACAAAAAATGAAAGACCTGATTTGGGAATTACACTTTTTGGTTTGCAGTCAGTGTTCGTTCTTCAGTTGATTCCAAAATGACGTGAATGGTGAATAATGATTTTTTTATATATGACAGGAATTATCTTTTTTTTTATTGTATGCATTACATAATGGAGTGAGTAAAGTAAGGATCATATCTGTCTTTGATTAACAAAATATGAAAAAGAGGAACGATTTCGATTTTAACACTTAAAAAAATAATCTCATGCATAAACTACGGACATTACATGTCAAGCCACAGGACGTTGTGTCCGGCATCCGGCCTCATATGAAACCCCTGGTTGGACCAATAAGGTGGAAGTTCCAAGGGGCCAATGAGTTTCTGGCATCTTAAAGCTACATTTGCTTAAGGTCAAACAATAGCAACCGAATCATTTTCTTAGGTGTGTGAAAGCGAAACATTTTAAATGTTTCTGACACAGGAATGTTGCTTTGAAAATGTTCTTATGAGCTGCCTCAAGAAAAAGAAAACAAAATTGACAACCAATAGATTATATTGCTTGATTAAATTTTATTTTGTCTTTGTAGTTTTATAACTCCAGGGCTTCTTCTTAACACCTAAACATACTTGCTATGAATATTTTGTTGAGGAAGAATACGTTTTTGTGTAATTTTAATAACAGATCCTAGCCTTCCACACAGACATCCTTACGGCTTTGTCACACTTTCCTTCCCCAAGAACGTCTGCTGAAAGAGCTGTTAAGCTCCGGAGTTCTAAGAAATCCAGGGGCTTTTCCTTTTTTAGGAGACCTTTTCTGACTTAGCTGACCTTTTTTTGGAGTCCAGCACCACAGGTATGTGGTTAAATTTTTTCAAGGTCAAAAGTGCACCTCCCATGTCTGGAGGTGGGCTGTGGTTGGACTGCATTTTTAACCACTTGTTTCAGCAGGACATTTGTTGGGAAGGATTGTGTGAAGAGCCGAAAGAAAATCTGCGTGGGAGACTAGACAGACCCTTTAAGCTGCCAAATAGTCCCCAGCCTTACTATGCCAGAGAACATTCATCTAATGCACTTCAAATTCCAAATGGTTGGCTGTGAAACATGTCATATGTTATAAGTTATCATTATGTTGTCTTATGTTATATTTAGTTATGTGTCCAAGCTTAGATGAAAAAGACAGCATAACACTGAAGTGCATAAAACCCTTCAGAGTTGTCACAAATATATTTTGTGAGAACCATGCTAAAAAGATGTCAAATTGTTCTTGACAGAAAGTGGCAGACTTACAAGACTTCTCCTTGAATGTCACAGATCTTTCCCACGCAAAGATTTAGCCAATTTCAATGAATTATCCATCAAACAGTTTCTTGTTTATGATTTATCATACTACCATAAGATTCCAAAAGTAAGCCCTGGGGCCTATATTAAATTTTTTCAAAGGCCCTTTTGGAGGGGCTTATTTTTGGAGGGGCTTATATTCAGAGAGGCTTATCTATGAAGGGAAATTTGTGTTTCAAAATCAATTGGGCTAGCCTTATAAATTGAAGGAAATTTACTGTGTTTTCTTTGTTTTACTTTGTATTTGAGTGCAATTTCCGAGTACAAGCCCCCTGGGGGGGGGCTTATATTGGGAGGGGTGATTTAACGGAGGGTTTTTTGCATTACAAGTTTGCGGGGCTTATATTAGGAGGGGCTTATACATGGAGGGGCTTATTTTCGGAATTTTACGGTATATTGGTTATTTTTGAGGGACTGTCATTTCTGCAACACATACAGCTATAGTCTTTTAAATACACTGTAACTTAAAAATAATATTCAACTGTTTTGATAAAATATCTTGATTTACAACACCTCTCATTCTATTTACTATCGGGAAATCACCTGAAAAACAGCCCTCTGTAACCTGACAACATAGCTATATAATAAATAACACCAAATACGAAACCACCAAGGTGTGCTGCATGACCAATTCCATGTGTCTGATAAGCCATAAGAGAATCAATAATTCCTTTGCCAGACTCTGCACTAGCAAGTAGGGGCAACAAATCATTGATTACGATTCCAACTACCAGTCCTAAATGGCACACTTCATATATTACTTGCTGCATTACGCGAGTGTCCCACTCTTGATTGGCTCTTCCCATCCTTCGTCTTCTCCTCAGTTCCATGTACTTATCATATAATGAAACAACATTGGCACAAGTTTCAACAGCAATTATTGAGCACACTGCAGCACTAGCACCGATGCACAGAGCATTCCCATACACCGAAGTGTAGATTTTATCCATTGCCATAGTCTGAATGGCTTCAGCTTTACTTCCAAAATAATCTCCAAGAATTCCCCATGACTTTGGAGATGGTAGAAAATTGTCCCATCTCATTTGATGAAAAATGTAAAAACAAAGTTGAGAAAGATTTCCTGCCACTCCTCCCCCAAGAAATAAACCTAACAAGTGCATGCGACCAAATCTCCTGTGGATGCGATATCCATCTGGTAAGAGTACCCCCAAGTTGCTCATAAGATGTTGTTCATCTGTGAAAGATATAGTGGTATTAACAATGGTCAAAGCTGGTCTGTTCAAGGACAATTTCATAAGCAATCAGTAAGGCCACCTTGACAAAAGTTGAATAATAATTTTTTGAACTTTCCATAAACTGTATTTTTCATTCCTGTGAGGCCTGGTACAAAATAATGTGCTATCATTGTACCAAACTCAAAAAAATATTAAAATAAGCTCGAGACAAAATGTGGTTAATATACAGTTGATTCAAACACCAAACTTAGTATAATTTGTGCTAACTACAAGATGACAATTTATCATGTATTATTATATACGATGGCTCATTGCAAATAAATTTTGACAATAACATTATTGAGTTCAGTGCAAGGTATGAATCCTAGCTTGCAAGCCAACTCTTAACTACTTGGCATGACATCATGCCAATTTCAAACTTAATTTACTGTTAATAGGATAATGACAATTGAACCAGACCTTAGTGGACATTCTGATAATCAGAGTAAGGGTGACGCAGTGGTGAGAGCATCTCACCTCCCATCAGTGTGCCTTGGATTCAAGTCCCAATGTTGATGAGATCATTCTTGAAATTTAGAATGGGAATTTCTTAGGTTTATGGCGAAATTCATTGTATCGCGCCGTGCGTTTTGCAAACTTCGAAGGATTTTTGGGTTTTTGTTCCATCAATCATCCTAGTGGACCTCTTAGGAAACACATGTTTACTTGTTCCAGTTCAAAAGATCATGGTTTGTGATTCGTGATTGGTGGATTTTGATCCATTTTGTTTGTTTTGTGTTCAAGGTTCGTTGCTTAAGTTGTGATCGTCCTGTTTTGGGCAATAATCGACTAGTTAAGTTTGCTTCGCAGATTTTTCTGATCTTTCTTATTCTTGTCACTTGCAAGAGTAAAGCAACATCTGCCTCCTTCCTTTGACGAAAAATCTGCTCACCATCACAATTTCCTTTGCTATTCTTGAACAGTGTACAGTCATTCTCAGCCAAGCTGGGAAAGCATGTTATTGTGATTTGTATTAACCCTGCCTTCACTAAAATGATTGACGGAACAGAAAACCCAAAATCGCTTTGAAGTTTGCAATACGCGTAGCGCAATACAACAGATTTCGCTGTAATTAAGGTTCACGGGAAAGTTTGGGTTTCACTTCCAATTTCAAGGACCTTTTTGGTTTTAATTTTTGACCCCACTGATACCTCCCTTGGCCCTCACACTTTTGATGAAGTCAATTTAGACTCTTTTCTAAGCTCACAACCGCAAGTATTTTCTTCCTGCTAAACATGCTCCATCTGATACTTGGATAATTACAACATCCTTAAAATATTGGCCCTGATTAATTGATAAATTATTTGCCATGATCTATTTAATAATGCACCGATCAACTGATTCGAAACTTCAACATTACGCCCACCCTGCTCGGGGATGTTGAAGTTTTGAATTGATCGGCGAATAAGCGAGTTGATATCACGGCCTGCTACTATCTGTAGCTAAATGACACTCAGCCTTACCGGCATGATGAAAAAGATTAGTGACGACCGTGTGATAACGTCCTTGATTGAGATTTTCGGGCGAGAAAGAAAAGTGCCTGTTCAAGGTCACCGCAGACATGTTGAAGGGGAAACCAAGATACTGAAGTTGAGCAAGCGGGGACTTTGGTGATACTCGAGAAACAAGGCATGGCAACTGTAAACCCACAAGACCCGCTAAAGTGATAGCACAATCTTTAAATTCCTCAAAAGTTGGTCCTTCCATTTCATGAACTAATTGAAAATCGCTTGGGAAACAAGACTCGACAGGCGTTACGTCGTTAACCGCCAAAGCCTGGTAACGAGCAAGGACAACTCCAGTTGGGGGGGAGGGGGGATTGTTGGAGGAGAGGGGTGGCAAAAGACGAATTTTCGTTTTTTTTTCTCTGAAAACGATGTTGCCAACTTGATAAAGGCCCATAAAATTCCAAGCGCCACCATCGCCGCCAAGATCTTAGGGGGGCGGGGGGAGGGGGTTAAAATCCCGAGCAGTACTGCCCGTACGCTAACGTTTAGTCTGAGCTCCGCTGTTACTAACTCCAGGAGGTACGTTATAGTACGCGTACTGGAGTAAACCCCTTGGAAGCCCGAGTATCACGGCTAAATGATGACAAACAAAGATTTTTTGCGCCAAATTGAAAGGAAATGCGATGAAAAGAAATAGATCGAGTTACAAAAGAGGCTCGCTAGGATTTTTTGATATAACCTAAACTTTGCATTTCACCAAGTTATAGTGGCGTCGACTGAACAGCTGAACTAGTCAAAACAGCGAACCGATTTTGTGGGGCTAAATGAACGATCCGCAAATAAAACGTGACAAACGTGCAGCAGTTTTAGAAGAAGGCGGCTTAAAACCAAGCCCCCAAATGCCCCTAAATCCGCTCCAATTGTTTTGTTGTTTTTGGCAATCCATCTTTTTGGTTCGCTGCACGAGCACAAACGCAGACTTGTTTTGGGTACTTATATCAGAACATTCTTAAACTTGCGCAAACGCAGGTCGCGACGAAGCTTCTTTAACTAAAATCAGCCGTTAAGTCCTACAGGAAAAGACAAAAAAAAAAAAACAGAGAGAAATAACCGACTTGTCTAAGAATACCAACCCTCTATCAATCTCTCTTAAAAGCCTCTTAAGACATGTTTTATAATTAGAATAGTAACAAAACTAATACGTTTCGTCTCTCACGTCTCGACCTCTGCGGTGTAACTGGATCAAAAAGAAAGCGGGGCCGATCGAGATACATTGGAAAGGGTCGTTGTAACTTTAGGAATATCAGATGTCCAATAGTTGAAAAATATTCGTTTAGTATGTTACCAATAAGTTTTGGATCATCAGACATGGCACTATGCTCACCAGAGCGAGTTAAATGTTTTTTTAAATCACAGCTTTTGGTTTCGGGATACTAAATATTTTCCATATACTCCATACCCTAATGCCCTGATTTTCGTCTTAGCGTGATTGAGACCTTGCACCCTGATAAATATTGGTTATCACCTACCAGAAAAAAAAAAAAAAAAAAAAAAAAACAGTCAGAGGTATATTGGCAAACAAACAAAACAAATAGTTGCACGCACCCATTTCAGTGCAACCGAGCATGCGCAAATATTCAAAATTGCGATTAAAAGCAGATTCGCTTGCTGGGAGTGAATCATTTTGAGCAAAACTAGCAGCGAACTACACGCTACACCAATAAACCATGAGCTCACAGAGACGTTGTCGTATTGGTCAATGGCTTCCTCCCGACAGGGGAATCATTGACCAATGGGTTGCAGGTGTCATCAAAGAGTGCCAAAGCGGTAAATACAAAGAAAAGTTAGACATGCTAATGGCTCTTCATCCACCGGCTCACGATGAAGACACAGCCCTTGCTGGACTTCCACTTGCAGATACTAGAGCCAGATATACAGATAAAGACCTCTGTCTTCACAAACCGGTTGACGATTTGAAGAATGCCATTCTCACCGATCCCGAGATCAACATGTTCTTCCATCAAATGTTCTGGCAACAGTATCATCTCCCAGGTGATACGTCAGAAGGAACAAAAATTCCGTCCTGGCAATTGATGATAGTAATAATCGACTACATCATGACAATAGCTCCTAAGTTCAACAAGACTGGATTGGTTGGCTTCCCCATCAATGTCATCTTGAACTGGCCGATGGCTACCACCGCTGGCTTTGCTGCCTTCCTGAACGACAAGGTCAACAGGTTGTTCAAGAATATTCTCAATTATTGGGCGGATTTTCTGTCCAGTCCAGATTCTTGCTATGTTTTGAGTGACGATCCTCGACATGGTTGGTTTGGTGAGGATGCAATGGAAGCAATGCCAAACTTTGTGGAGGAGTTTAAATGCGATCCAGATGTCCCTCATTATGGTTACAAGTCATGGGATGATTTTTTCACGAGAGAGTTTCGCCCTGGAATTCGCCCAGTAGAATGTCCTGACGATGATTACATTGTTGCAAACGCCTGTGAGTCGGCGCCTTACCAGATAGCTACATGCGTCAAAAAGAGGGACTACTTTTGGATTAAGAGGCAACTGTACTCCTTAGACTTCATGCTGAACATGAATCACCTGGCCTTGCAATTTCATGGCGGGACCGTCTACCAAGCGTTTCTCAGCGCCACCAGCTATCACCGATGGCACAGCCCAGTATCGGGTACCATCTTCAAGACAGAACTTGTTGATGGCTCTTACTACTCGCAGACCTATAACATTAAGGACGACCCCGCATCGCCCAACATGTCTCAAGGATACCTGGCCCAGGTAGCTGCCCGAGGGATAATCTACATTTTGGCTGATAATCCTGATATTGGATTGATGTGTTTCGTAGCAATCGGTATGTCAGAAGTGTCTTCCAACGATATCACTGTTAAAGAGGGAGAAAAAGTCAAGAAAGGAGACCAGCTCGGTATGTTCCACTTTGGTGGTTCCACCCACTGCCTGATTTTTCGACCTGACGTGAAAATCGAGTTTGATACTCGTGGTCAAACACCAGGTCTGGATACCGACAATATTCCAGTAAGGGCCAAAATTGCCACCGTTTTTCGCCAAAAGAAGAGCGATGAATCTGACTAATCTGAAGAACATTGAACTGAGAGTATCCCCTTGAAGAACATTGAACTGTGATTTCATATGCGTGTTGACATTCGAGTTATTTTTACTTATGTTCATCTTAATCCCACTGGTCTTCTGGAAAATTGAAGCGGCCACATTAAACCTTTAAGGCTGTTAAGGCAATAATTTTTTTTTCGCATTATTTATCCAATTTCTTTAGTAGTACAGTTTTAAACATAATCGGGGTCTTGAGTGCACGCAGTGCAGCCAACCGTGTATTTTAATCCTTCAGATTTTGCCTGAAAATTGACTACAATTGTTTCAAGGGTTAGAAATGAGACAATTGACAAATAATCTTAGTTCATATTCTGCAGCATTGACATTAACTCTTAGCTAACTACTTTGTTACAAGCAGGAGGAAAAACTTCAGCCCAAAGGGCTCTTGGTTGTCCCGGAATTTTTCCGTTTATATTTGAGCAGTCTTTAAGCAGATTTATATTACTTTAGCTATTTGGTTATCTATGTTGTCTGAAATATCCTCTTTGTGAGTTGAAAGGAAGTATGCAGGCTTGTAGAAATGCCCCTACAATTAACTATAAAGCCGAAAGCGACAATTGCAAAGTGTCATCATGCATGAAGAGCAGGATGAAGAGACTGATACATTAAAGATTTCATGTTAAAACTTAAAATATGCAGACTTTCCAGTTCAGTAATTAAAGTAAGCTCAGTAATTAAAGTAAGCTTGCGTGTTATGCTGAAATAAAGACTTTTGTCTTTAATAACTTATTGGGCTGTCTGATCTCGTGTACTCGATTTATTTGTGGATGATTTTAAATTTTCGCAAAGAAATCTCCATTCAGTTTTGTGAAGTGGATCGTGTGCACTTTTTGTGTCAGGAAGGGTAATCTAAACTAGCTTAAACTTTGTCCGACGTGCTTGCCCGAAAGCAATTAAACTACATGGATCAAGTTGAAAATTTGCTTCTTGCTAACCGTTCACCTTTGAACCTTATATCCGTTTAATACAATTATTGATTCATTAAGAGTCACGATTATGCTTAGTTAAGTTTCATTCAGTACGAGTGCATCAAAGTCATCAACCACTAGGTTTCTTCTGTAGTCCGGCCGTGACTAGAAAACAAATTAAAGTAATTTACCATACGAGACCAATATATTGCTGAGATAATAAAAAGGAGCAACCTGTATTACCTCAAAGGTATTTAAAAGACAGTGTCATCAAATCTCAAAAAGTAGATTAATGCCATTTTAATTTGCTTTTTTAAATTTCTAGATTCCTTTTTTTTTCATTGCTGGATGTATCTTGCAAACCAAAAAAACCTCTATGGCCAAACAATCATTTTTTTTCTTTAAGTATATTTTTATAGACTTCTGGTAAAGAGAAAATAGCTTGAAAAAGTGTTGATATCAGCGTGTGTTATAATAATGCACGTCGTTTGATAGATTATTTGGTCAAACTAATTTTATCTCGTCCAAGTTGTACATCATGATGGACAATTGCCGCATTAATTCTCACGGTAAATTTTAATGTACGTAGTATATCCACAGAACGAACTTCAGAACTTTGTATCGTTACTTTGATTTGTGTTTCGCGAGAGTTTTGTCATAAAATGCTACCTCAGCTCAACCTCAGCCTCCCTTTTGTATATGTAAATGATTTGGAAGAATGAGGTAAATATCTTTCAGAATAAAATTGATCTAAACAGTCAAATACTATGCATTAGGACTATGTATCTTATATTATCTTCGCATTATTTTGGTTGAGAATCAAAGTCTTAAGTATGGAAATATCATCAAAGGGTTTTGCTAACAAAATCAAATTCCAAACAACGCCTTTACTTGAAGAGCCCAATTAAGAATGAACCTGATTGGGTCACTTCCAGTCACGGCAGCGTAAATCATCGTCTACCTAAACAACTCGGCAAATATCATGTGTGATAACAGTTACGTTATTCAAACTATATTGCTGTTGCTTAACTGAACCAAACGCTACAACTACAGACCAGTATGGTGTCGAACAAAGAAACTGATACATTTTGCATGTCATCAAGCTAAATGGGCCCTTCTGATCGCTGGTGGGACCCCCACCCCCTCCCTTCTCCTTTCTTTGAAGCAATGGGTTGACCGGACGGCCGATTACTTCCAATAATCTGCTTTCGCACCGAGCAGTTTCAGTTATCAATCACGGAAAGCACTATATTGGCCATGAAATGCTGTGGACCTTTTTACACCAAACAAAAATACCATTTAATGGATCAAAGTATTAAGCTGACTGACTTAATTGAAACTGTCAAGTTTCATAAAAATCCTTCGCAAATTTTGAAATTTCGGAATTATATGAAGAGCCCCATATTGTGTGACTGCAGTATTTATAAAGGAACGAATATCAGGGCAATACTAATACCTAGCCTGCGAAAACATCAGTTTCTCCTCGCTCTTCGCCGATGGGGACGTTTCGCGCACGTTTAGATCCTTACATTCGCGCGCATTTGGAGCCTTATATTTGTGGGAGGCAGTTTAAGGTTAATTTTTGCAAACGTTTGGAGATTGACTAAATTCAGAATGATAAATTAATCTTTACAAGTGCCATTTGGTGACAATGGTAAAGGGTCATTTTAGATCCTTGAAACTTGAAAAAGGATAGGAATTGGAACCATGCCCTCAAGACTTAGATCACTCAATCATTTTCTGAGTTGTTAAGTTGGTGTATGGTGGGTGAAGAAAACTCCCTCAAACACTATTGAGCTCACAACCCATTAGCGATATTGATTGCAAAGATGATTTTGTTAATGAGCGTGGGAAGCTAACTGCACGACATTCGATCGATGAGATTCCAGACATTGACTCTGCACCTTATATAACTTTAATAACTGACGTTCCTGACCGTCAAGTTAGTACCCATAAAGAAATAACCAGGAAAAGGATCACGAGGCAAGAGCTCCATGGTTGAGTAAAATCAGGACATCGGTCCAGAACCCCTCAGAAAACCTCCCCAACACCCCCGGAACACCCCCGGAACGCCCCCAAAACACCCCTGAAACACCCCCGAATCACCGGCATAACAACCGTATTAAACACTCTCGGAACAACCACAGCTTCTGATAGAGGAGGAAGGAAGGAAGGAAGGGGCGCTAAAGGGGTACTTTCGGCGCTCGTGGGGCGCTCAGAGGCAATTCTTGAAGCGAATCCAGTCAAAAGCGTACAAAAACCACGGCAAAATCTATGCAGGTTTTATACAGCCAGCTAATATGCTAAATTTAAGACTCAAGGATATCTTGAACGGAATTGGCTGCATTTGCTGCATTTTCTGAGACCTACAACCTTGCACAGAATAAAAAAAAAGAAAAGCACACGAAACCAAAGATGAAGTCCACGAAGAAAAAAAAGGTGCATTTTCTTTCCTTGAGTTGAAAGGGTGGGGAGGGACGTGAGGGAGGATTTCGCTTCTCAGGATTTTGAGGGCAGCAAATTGTTACAATATTTAGGAGAAAAATGAGACAGCCCCTGGTCACACATTCTTTAATTTTCAAATACGCTCCAGAAGAATTAGAGTTCTCCACAGGGAAGTCAAATATTTCTTGTACTAGTTGGGTCAGAGTAAGACTGTGATAAAGAAGTTTTAATTAACATTTTGGTTCTTCAACCATACAAATTCCTCACTCAGGATGAATGGCTGCAAGCTTTCGTCGCAACGACTTATGGGATCGTTTGGGTGAACAAGCGTTACTTATGATTGGTTAAAGATTCTATTTTTGACAGAAATAGTACCAGTTTCCCAACCTCGTCCCCAGGGCTTTTCCCTTAAATGGGTGGGGCGGGAAAAGGCCCTGGCATCGGCTGGTCACGTGCACAGCCTAAATATTCCTGAGAAGCTAATTTATATGCAACCCGCTGGTTTTGCGCTGACAGAAGTCGAACGGAGCAAAAATGGAAAATAATAATATCGCAAACTGTATGTCAATATTTTCGCGTCTGTGCGATTCAAAAGCTTAAGATCCATTTAATTGCGTATTATTCAAATGCTACAAGAACCGGCTCTACGTTGTCACGTACAAAATATGTCAAATGCTTCAGAGTTGAGACAAGCTGTTATCGAGTAGTACTTCGACTGAAATTCATCGTGACTGTGGAATTACTGTACGATCAAGCAGAAAGTGATTTTGTCCAATGTCAAACAAAAATGCGGGCCTTTGCCTCTAGGATCTGCAGTGAATTTAAACAAATTGGACTTAATTGAAATAGAATTGTTCATCAAAATACTTTATGATGGAGTCTGGTCTTCTCTACAACCCGACCATGAAACCACAGGCAGCCCAAGCGCACTATTCGTGGGTTCGGGCTTCAGAGGTCATTTGGTGGGAATATACTAGAATTATTAGTGTATTATCTGATGCCAAATAAATGCAAAAAGTCTTAAAGATATGAAGTCTTCTTGTTTGTCTATCGGTACTAGTAGCCTTTAAGATAACGAAAATCGATATTTCTTGCATTATTACATGTGATTCGGGCCCTTATTGATCGAATTTTATCACATGTATTCGAATCTACAACGCTAAGGGAAAAAAAATCATGATCACGCGAAATATTGATTCAAAAAGCTCCCTTACCTTTCGTTCATAGCCACTCTGTGTCCTACGGCTGGTTTAAACGCCGTTTAGTCGACTTTCTTTCCATCGAGTACTGAACACTATAAAAGAAGGGAAGGCTGGAGACCTTCCAATTGACCCTCGTCGCTCGAAGGCCAATAAATTCCAAACAAAGCGACCGATCTCCCTAAAATTGCCACCAGCCAGACCGAAGAGTGTACACCTACCCGTTCGACGAGCGCCAGGTTCTAAATTCGGCTGCATGAGCTCGAGGATCGTTGCATTTCGCATCGATTCTGGCCAGCTTCGCTTCGCCATGATGCGCAATCTTAACTGTTATCCTACGAGATTCAAATCTTGGAGCTTAGCGACGGCGTCAGATGGACAAAACGTCACTCTCGCGGGGGGAGGGTCGTCACTTTTGCCCTATCGCAAACCGACACCGTCCGGGGAGCCGGTGCGTTTAATTCGGCCGGAAACAGCTCATGCGTGTATGACACATGAAACCCAAAAACGTCCCAGACTGTCTTATCTCCGATTTGAGATTTAAATCTTGCCAATAACGGTTCCAAAATCAGTTCGTTGCAGTCCGTTGTTTGGGTCAGTAGTTCTGTTGGAGTTCGATATTTCCTTTCGTATTTTAACAATAGTTCTTTTCAGAGATACCCTAAAATATATTTTTCTTTTACACGTAGCTTGTTTGTTAGTAAAATCGCGTGTATTTCGGTTCCTGTGGTGATCGCGTGTATTTCGGTGCCTGTGTCTAGCGTTTGAAGAAAGTCTGTTGATAACGATGTTCTCAAAAGTAGCCAGACAAGAGGAGGATTTTCCTCCGAAGAAGAAAAGGAAATCTTTTGGCTATTCAGAAGAGTGGAAAATAATAAAGACAGTCTGGGACGTTTTTAGGTTTCATGTGTCATACACGCGTGAGCTGTTTCCGGCCCAATTAAACGCACCGGCTCCCCGGACGGTGTCGGTTTGCGATAGGGCAAAAGTGACGACCCTCCCCCCGCGAGAGTGACGTTTTGTCCATCTGACGCCGTCGCTAAGCTCCAAGATTTGAATCTCGTAGGATAACAGTTAAGATTGCGCATCATGGCGAAGCGAAGCTGGCCAGAATCGATGCGAAATGCAACGATCCTCGAGCTCATGCAGCCGAATTTAGAACCTGGCGCTCGTCGAACGGGTAGGTGTACACTCTTCGGTCTGGCTGGTGGCAATTTTAGGGAGATCGGTCGCTTTGTTTGGAATTTATTGGCCTTCGAGCGACGAGGGTCAATTGGAAGGTCTCCAGCCTTCCCTTCTTTTATAGTGTTTAGTACTCGATGGAAAGAAAGTCGACTAAACGGCGTTTAAACCAGCCGTAGGACACAGAGTGGCTATGAACGAAAGGTAAGGGAGCTTTTTGAATCAATATTTCGCGTGGTCATGATTTTTTTTTCCCTTAGCGTTGTAGATTCGAATACATGTGATAAAATTCGATCAATAAGGGCCCGAATCACATGTAATAATGCAAGAAATATCGATTTTCGTTATCTTAAAGGCTACTAGTACCGATAGACAAACAAGAAGACTTCATAATTATCTTTAAGACTTTTTGCATTTATTTGGCATCAGATAATACACTAATAATTCTAGTATATTCACAGGCAGCCCAAGCGCACTATTTGTGGGTTCGGGCTTCAGAGGTCATTTGGTGGGAATATACTAGAATTATTAGTGTATTGTCTTTCCCTCGTGTCGCGCTTCGCGCTCGTGTCGCGCTCCGCGCGAAATATCGCGTTCGCCCATAAAGGCTCATAAAGCGCCTGTCATGCAGGCTACCTATACCTTTCCACTGACAATTGGTACCGCTTTCACTCACCTAGTTTCAATGCGGTTACTCTTTAACTGCTGTAAATGCAGCCTATTTTAAATATGAATTAATCATTCACCAAGAAATATTCTTGGCTTTTTTACAGTCATAAAATAAGCTGTAATGTCTTTAAGGTCCTTTCACAGTCCGCAATTGCAATGACAGATTTCGTTTCCCTTTTGTATACTTAACATAGTGAAAACAATGCCATTTTTCATTCCTGAAGCCTAAAAAAGGTATCCCTTTCGGTAGGAACCTCCCTTTTCAGAGGCCATAGCCGGGGCACTTCCTCCAGATGACGCTAAAGCAAACTCACGTTTCGAATAAAATACTTCAGACAATGATAAAAACAAACTGAATATATATAGTTTCTTTTTAATTAACACTACAACAGTAAGACCCTTTACAACCTTTGTTTTTTTTTTTCTCAACGTATATTAATGGCAGAAACGTAAACCTCACCATGAAAATGCATGAAAATGATAAGTAGTCCTGCCGCTTACGAAATTCTTTTTACGTTTCGAAGAAAGCCTCTATTTAGAGGAAACTTTATCCATCACGAAATATCTTGTTTTTGTTTTTTACGTTATGACCAAGCAGATGCACACATAAAGAAAGATTTGTTAAAATAGCACATCCCCTATAACTTACCGTATTTTTTCGATGAACCGCTCTAGGCGCGTATTAAATTTTTGGGTCTTGAGAGTGGGCGCTTATTCAAGGTGGCTGCTTATTCGAAGCTGGGCGCTTACATTTTTCACCATTTATGAATGCGTCCACTTGACTGGACTGGAAGCTAACTTTGCGTTTGACGTCTGAAAGTTTCTTATGAGCTTTTCTGCTTGGTTCTGAGATTGTTTCAAGTTAGATTGTATATACATTCAGATACGGGCCGGATATTGCCATGTTCTTTTCGTTTTAACTGAATGGTCATCGTTTAATGTTACCCCGCGCGGCACTGTTTGTAAACTGGTCCAGTCAACTGGAGGCATTGATTGTACGAGAGGAACTATCGAGTTTCGACCCTTGTCATTATTTATTACCGTTAATTCAAAAATTAACAAATTACAGTCGAACCTCGCTATTTCGAACTCGGTTAATTCGAAGTCCCCGCTATTTCGAAGGAAGATCGAATGCCCTTGGATTTACCTTTCCCCTTTACGCTTCCCCGGTTATTTCGAACTTTTTTTCATTTCCCTTGGGACTTCGAAATAGCGGGGTTCAACTGTAATAACCAACGATGAAACGCGAGCCGATAATAACAACCGGAGGGTGACACCAACATTGAAATGCGAGCCAAACCACTGCGACCAGTCTTTCTTTTTCTTCAGATTTAGTGAGGGCAACGCACGCGCGCGGAGGCGGCGAAGCCTCGAGACGCGCGAAACGAGGGCGTCCCGTCTCGCGCCATCAGTCACGCGCGTGGCCATTTGCGTGTCTTGCGTTTTGTTCTACGGACTACAGAAAAATGAGAGACTGCTCGTAGTCTAAACCACATAAAGCATTGCCAAATCAACAACAGTCATAGCGTCAATTTGAACATCGTTTTCGCATCGTAAAACAACTTCCATGTCACTTCGCACCACAGCGGATTCGAGAATAAAACTAAACTGGTAAAATTTATCTCTTATTTAATTTCCATCTGCAGTTTACTAATAAGAGCGTGGGCTCCCTATGCCCGGTTTTCATAACCCCAGGTAGATATATCAGGGGCAACCAACGTCAATTTTCGGAAAATATCTGTTCGGAAGACGATTTGAGATCTAGAATTTTAGGAACATGTGTCATAAAATTTCTTGTTTGCTGCCTCTCCTAGGATTTTCGAACATCTAAAAATGGTATAATTGCCCATTTTTAACTGATTTTTACCCTAAAAAGGTCATCTAGAATTTTCGGGAACCTTTTTTCTGGGTGAAATTTTCGAACAGGTACCCTTTAATTTTCGGATCACTATAACTTTCAGCTAGGAAAACTAGCCTAAATTACAGTCACTAAAAATACGTTAAAAGTTAAAAGTACAACAATATTAAAAAAAATCATTTAAAAAAGCTAAAAAACAACATTTAGAATATATTTATAAGGTAAACTGATAAAAAATTAACAAGTAACCAAAACACTTTTGATTTATATATAATATAATTCGAAAATACGAGTTTTAAAAACCACAGCTGACTTAGAATCCTTCATTTCACTTGCAATATTATTAAAAAGTTTAGATCCACTTTCTTGCCGTCTCAGTTCTGACTTTGGGGAACAGCAAGTTTTGCCCACTTCTCCTCGTGTTGTGGATTATTCTAAAAGCCCTAAAATAATCTTTAAAAACACTGGACGGGATCCCTTCAAACATTTAAAAGTCCAATTAACAGTATGCATGTCACGCCTCATAGACAAGGGAAGCCACTTTAAATTCTTCTCAGCGTCTGAATCTCTAGTCTTCAAGACAATCTTTGCTGCCCTTCTCTGTGCTCGATCTAACTTATCACGTGTTTTTTCCCATTGCTGCTCCATGCAACACCGCAATAATCCATAACGTTAACCGGCAGAACAAGAGACTGATGAACTTTATTGGCTGCATCGACAGTTAGGTTGTTTTTAATTCTCCCGATTCTTTTGGAAATCTTAACCAGTAGCTTATCCACGTGTTCGATGAAATTAAGATTTGCATCTATTAGCACACCAAGGTATTTGTAATGTTGTGCTTGGTTTATCGGCTAGTCCCCGAGAAATAAGCAAAAAATGGCCCATCTGAAAGGGTAGCCGAAGCGATTCGTTGTTGCGAGCTGAAAAGAACGCATTCGGTCTTCACAGAATGAATGCACAGCTTATTAACATAGGTCCAGGTCTGCAACTGTTTTTATTAGGTCTTTATTGAAAACAGTACTTATGTTTCCGATATTGGAGTCAGCGTAGAAAAGGACAGCATCGTCCGCATAAAGTAGGATCTTTGACTGAAGTAAACAGTTGGGCAAGTCATTGATGTAAATCGAAAACAATCTGTCAAAGCTTAGCCAAGGGTCATCCCATATTCTATGGTTTGATATAACCACAAATCCGTTAATTAGACCTCCCTATTTCTGCGACCAGATTTTCATAGCCCAACGGTTTTCGTATTACAGCTTTCCACTGTGTATGGCTAAATCTTACTGTAGAAGTCATTTTGTTTTATTTGTTGAATAGCTGAAGAAGCATGGGTGGCCGTCTAAGCCAACCCAACTGCAGTGAAGTGAACCGAAGTGAAGCGAAGTGAAGTGTAGTTAAGTGAAGTGAAGTGAAGTGTAGTTAAGTGAAGAACTAATAAACTTGTGGCCCTCTACTTGGTAACAATTTTACAATGTTTTATAGGAAGATGAAAGTTTACATATACAAACGCTGTAATATTTTACGAATGCATAGGTTTTCCGGGGGTTGGTTAAGTACGGAACGAATTTATATTGGAGCGAACGGAGAAACAATCGCCCCCACCTAGCCTATTAATATGAGTCTCATTATCAGGGTTATCAGCAGGATAACAGTTTCCTCAACCGTTGTCTCATAATCGAAAAAACACCCTAGAGGGCATTTGGCAAGCATAACTCTCGACTCATCAATTCGCAAATGTGCTAATATTCATAATTATTTTCTAAGAAAGTAGACACACTTGATAACGGGTACCCATGCTGATGATGTTAAGTCTTTTACGCTGGTTTTTCTTTTTCCACGCAACACAATCAGTCTTAAGCAGTAGGCCTTTTCGTCTTGGTCAATGGCTTCCTTCCGACTGGAACGTTACTGACGAATGGCTGGCCAACATGATCCACGAGTGTCAATGTAAATACAAAGATAAGTTAGAAATGCTTTTGGCTCTTCATCCACAAGCTAAAGATGACGAAACAGCCCTGTGTGCACTTCGATCTACAGATACTAAAATTACAGATAAACACCTCCGTCTCCATAAACCAGTCGAAGATTTGAAGAATGCTATTCTCACCGACCCCGCGATCTACATGTTCTTTTACCAAATGTTTTGGCAACAGTATCATCTTCCAGACTCTTCAGAAGGAACAAAAATTCCGTCCTGGCAATTGATGATAATAATAATCGACCACATCATGACAACAGCTCCAATGTTTAACAAAACTGCATTGGTTTGCTTTCCAATCAAAGCTATCTTGAACTGGCCGATGGCTACCACCGCTGGATTTGCTGCCTTCCTGAACGACAAAGTCAACAGGTTGTTCAAGAACATTCTCAGTTATTGGGGAGAGTTCCTGTCAACTCCAGAGTCTCGCTATGTCTTAACTGACCATCCTCGACATGGTTGGTTTGGTGAGGATGCAATGGAAGCAATGCCAAACTTTGTTAAGGAGTTTAAATGTGATCCCTCATTATGGTTACAAGTCATGGGATGATTTTTTCACCAGAGAGTTTCGTCCTGGAGTTCGTCCAGTAGAATTTCCAGACGATGATTACATTGTTGCAAACGCCTGTGAGTCGGCGCCTTACAAGTTAGCTACATGCGTCAAAAAGAGGGACTTCTTTTGGATTAAGAGACAACGGTACTCTTTGCATTTTATGCTGAACAAGAGTGACCTGGCCAAGAAATTTCATGGTGGAACCGTCTACCAAGGGTTTCTTAGCGCCACCAGCTATCACCGATGGCACAGCCCAGTGTCAGGTACCATTTACAAAACAGAACTTGTTGATGGTTCTTATTACTCGCAGACCCATAACATTCAGGACGACCCCAAATCACCCAAAATGTCTCAAGGATACCTGGCCCAGGTAGCTGCCAGAGGGATAATCTACATAATGGCTGATAATCCTGATATTGGATTGATGTGTTTCGTAGCGATCGGTATGGCAGAAGTCTCTTCAAACGAAATCACTGTTAAAGAGGGGGACAAAGTCAAGAAGGGCGACCAGCTCGGAATGTTCCACTATGGTGGTTCCACCCACTGTCTTATATTTCGACCTGAAGTAAAAATCGAGTTTGATACTCGTGGTCAAACACCAGGTCTGGATACCGACAATATTCCAGTTAGAGCTAAAATTGCGACCGTTTATCCAGCAAAAGACAAGAAGAAAAGGTTATAAAGAAAAATAGCTGAACTTGGAATTTGGAGTTTACTTGACCTTGATGTCATTGTTTGTCTAGAATATTAAAGCGTTCACAGGACCATATTAATTGTATTTGAACCATTTTTCCATGATTATTTTTGGCCTGTGCGATGCAAATTTTTTCATCAGGCGCATGCAGACAACTGAGTTCTTGAGGCCGTATTTTGTATGGAAATTAACAGTTATGCTTTCTTTCCTTGTACAGTGTAAGAAATGAGAGAGGTAAACGTTAGTTCACATTCTACACATTATTATTACTTAGGTGCTGCTTTGTGCATGGCGAGTAGAAGTAAAAAAAAACTTCAGTCTGATAATTAAAACGGACTTCCCTGAGGTATTTCATTTTTTTCTTTCGCATTTAGATAATTTTTATTTTATTTTATGCGGACTCATTTTAAACGTCGAACGTCAAATGTGCCGCTAATGGGAAAATCTATTGTTCTCCTTCATTTACTTCAGATTCAGCACATGAGTAGCCTGCTCCGGGCGTTCAGGTTGCAGAGCGCCGGGGTAGCGAGTGAAATTGTACGCGCCTGGAACAGGCTGGCACATGTGAAACAGGTGGGAAATCTAGGAAGTTGCAATATAAGGTAAAATATATCATGTGAAGTCCAATGGGATATTTATTTTTAAATAAATATCCCACACAAAAACCTAGCAGTTGTCATGTAATTTGTCAAGCATGAGACGCAGTGTTTCTTAGAAGCAACACTCATCGGACGTGATGTGGACGTTTCTTCCAAAAAAACCATTTTTTTTTAAAACCTTTCATGGAAACACAAATATGGTTTCATGGATTGAAGAATCATGCTGAATTTTAGTGAGACTGCCAAGTTTTAGTTTCTTAGATATCCGTTGCAAACTGACGAAAACATGAGGCTCAAGCAAATGAATACCAGGGCAATATACTAATGTCCCAGCGGATATATTTCTTTGTATATTTGTGAAGTTTCAAGGTGTATTTTTTAAAAACTTTATCGGATTGACTAAATTTAGTATGATAAATTGATGTGCTTGTTTAACAAAAAAACCCTTAAAATTGCCATTTGACCTTGACAGTGAGAAAAAAATAATGAAAAAAATAATGGATAGAGAGATCACAATCTCAGACAATCAGGCGCCTGTATCCTAAATAGGTGGTTTTCACGTTACGTCATCGCCCTTATGCTGGTGGACGGAAACAAAAGATCACTCATTAGCTCGCTTTGTTTGTCCACCCTCATTTGTTCATTTCACCATTGTTATTTGTGTCTCCCGAGATTGCATGAAAACCACCTATTGGTCTATTTAGGCAGCTAACTAGAACCGAAGATGTTTTGGAAGTTGAGTAAACTTTAGTAGGAATTTGAGCCATGAACTCAAAACGTTATGATGTCGATACTCGTTATAGAGCCAACTGCTAAAGCTCAAGAGCGGTATCCGTGTTGAATAATAATAATAATAATAATAAAAACTTTGAGATTTTGCGTGTTTATCGAGCCAAATTACCCGTGCCCTTTTGATCGACGGTGCGGAACGCCCCAACCGTGGAGAGCTTTAATTAGACGCTGTTTACATGGAGTGGGGGACCCCGGTCTAGTGGAGTAGGTTTCTTTTGTTTTGTGTCCCCCACTAAACCGGGGTCTCCCACTCCATGTAAACAGGCCCTTAGACAAGCCAAACAAATAATGACTCAAATACAATGGACAGTCTTTTCGCAGATGACCTGATTGTTTTTTTAAAGGATGATCTCTCTCTAACAAGCTTTCTTAAACTTACAGAAGATTATGGAACTTGCTCTGGCCTCAAGGTTAACCACGAAAAGACAGAGCTTTTGCTGCTAAGTAACCTGGCCTGTACCGTACTAGAAACCGCTCTGAACAACGAAAAAATTAAAAGATCAGTTAAAATCTTAGCAGTACATTTTACCTATGACATTCGCGTAAAACATAAAAAGCTAAACATCAATGAATTAATCAGCTCCATTCAACTTAAGCTACGAATCTGGAGGTGGAGGGATCTGACTATCATAGGGAGAATTCAAATTATCACAACCTTTTTTTACCCCTATCTTCTTATATCGCACGAGCTTGATATCATTGGATAAAGAATTTGTGAAAGAAGCAAACAAACTTACCTTTAATTTTATCTGGAAAGGAAAGGAGAAAGTTAAACGCTCTACACTTATTAGTGACATCGAAGATGGAGGACTTAAAGCCCCACATTTAAATTCCATAATTGAAACACAAAGAATACTTTGCCGCTGCAAGAAATTGGCAAATGATCAACCGAGTGGATGGAAAACAATCCTTTTGCATTATCTGAATCCTGTTGGTGGTAAATTAGTCTTATGTTGTGACTTTGATTTGAAGAAATTGCCTACCAAATTACCAGCCTTTTATGAAGAATTCTTAAAATTTTTTGCATAGTGCTCTGCGATAAACAATTCAAATACACAGGCTTTAAATGGACTTGCCTTGTCAAACGTTATCTTATGGAACAACAAATTTATTCGTATAGGTGACAAGTCTGTATATTTTCGAAATCTCGCTGAGAAAGAGATCCTTCGAGTAGGTGATTTAATCTCGAATAAAAATGAACTTATAATCAAAAGCGAGTTGAGAGTCTTGCACCTTTCGCCTTTGGATTCGCCTTGCCTCTTTAATAGACGCTCTACCAACTCAATGGCGTGAATCGTTGAAATTCTGCATCTCTACAAGTGACACACCATTCAATTTGCATGATGAGATTAAGTTACGCTTAAGTGGTCAAATTGTTTTACTTGAAAAAGCGTATCCGAAAATTGTTTGTAAAGAACTTCGAAAAAGAATCGTCACTCCACCAAGTGCTAAAGTAAAGTTTAATGCTCATTTTGTTAGTGACACTTTGAATTGGAAAAAAATTTATCGCTTGCCATATCGTGTTGCCTTGGATACAAAGACTCGCGAATTTCAGTATAAATTGCTAAACGGATGCCTTGTGACAAATACCTTCTTATGTAAAATTGGTATTATACCATCTCCAACGTGCTCCTTATGTGGTGAATTAGATGAATCCCTCGAACATCTTTTCCTGTCTTGTCATTATACTAAGAAGTTTTTGGTCTAAGGTTATAAAATGGCTTGTTGATCATAAGGTCAAGATTGAAAATCTTTCAGACAAAGATATACTGTTTGGTATTATTGGATGTGAGGACGAGATATGAAATGGAGCAAATATAAATCTGATTAGCATACGATCCTTTCGCCGCTTACTTCATTTATTATTAGCCTTTATTAATTTTGTCATGTAAATAGAGAAGAAGCTACTGGGGTGTGTCTCTTTCTTTCTTTTTTGTCAGTATGTATACTCTTCTTTGTCAGTATACCAAATTTTTAGGCGTTTTTTTTAAAGAAAATTTTACGTATAATTTGATATAATATTTTAATTTTTTTTAATTATAATTTTTTGTTAGTTTGCTTTTTTTTCCTTTTTTGTTGTTAGTGCGCATTAGATCATATATTCAAATGCTATTTTGCGCCTTATACATCTACCTGGAGTTTTGAAAACAGGGCTACCTGAAATCTTAAAGGGGCTATGTCACCCCACACGCATGCGCGAGCCAATGAAAACAAACTTGAAAAAGTTGGCCTGTCTTTTTCAAGTTCTGTCGGAGATTTTGGAAGGCTGTTTTTACCTGTCTAAATCTCAGCCATCGTTCGATAGTTAGCGAAGTTTTGTATTAAGAATCGTTCTATGGTGATTACAGAATAATTTTTTGGCGTTATTTTAAAATTGTTTGCCTGTGGAATGTTTTTACGTGGATTTACTGTGTCCTCTTATCAGCGGCCGTTGTAATGGCAGAGTTAATGACGGCTACTCCACAATGAGTGATGGAATCTTTGATGGAATCTTCCCTATAGTTCACAGACCCTTTCTACTGAGTTATTTTAGAGGTTGCTGGTTCTTGGATTTTTCTCGTGCTCAAAGTATGTGGACATATAATGAAGCGGCTATCGAGTTGGCGGCGGCCGTTTTTGGTAAACGATTACAAGAGCATCAGGACATGAGTTTCGTGATCAAACTAAACTCCTGGCGAAGGAAACATTATAAAATTCGGCTAGATTCCTTCTTGTATTTATCTGGATTCACGGCAAAGATAAACACGACCGTTTGCTCGTCCAGATTGTTCTCAACGGACTTAGAGAGGCACCTTAGTACGAGTTAGATCCTGTAAATGCCATGTTTTTGAACTGTTTGTGTTCGAGCATATTTTTGGAAAATAGCAGAGTTTACTTTCCCTTTTTATCAACGGACTGCTTATAGTGGAGTA